TCGGCTTCTCCCACCCCTTCCTCATAAATCTCTCTCTCCCCCCCCCACCCCCCAGGCTTTAGTCCCCGGCATGCTCCAACGTATGTCTGGAATCATTACAGCAAGCCAGAAGCAAGTTCATTCAAAGTTCTCCACAGCCGATCGGCCGCCTTGTGCAATCGAGATGGACAAGAATGTCATTGCTTGGTTTAGTCAACTGAGTGGGTGGGTGGGTGGGTGAGGGAGTGGGTGTTTCCTCTTGGGGTGGGAGAAGAGGCTGTCATCTGCCACCCTCCTCAGCTGACCCTAGATTGCCATCTGGGGAAAAGCAGCCAGAGTTCTCGGCGGCTATTAGTACCAAAAGGGTGTCCTAGGCACCGAAAACTTGGCATCTGCCCCGTTTGCATCCAGATGTGCAGCGAAACAGATATTGCGTTTGGCGAGAGAAAAGCCAAGAGTTTTCCAGAAGGGGACTGAGGGAGGCCCTCTCCCAACAGTCTGAGCTGACATGGCTTAGGAATGACAGAGGATAGATGGACATGGTAGTCCAGCAATCTCCAGACTGTGGGGTCCTCGGTGTTCTCCGAGCTTGTTTTCTTGCGGACGTTTCATTACCCAACTAGGTAATGAAGTGCTAGAAGGGAGTGTGGTTTGTGAGGAGGAGGAGGAAGGAGGGAGGAAGAGGAGGAGAAGGGAGGAGAGGGAGAGGAACGTGGAGTCCTTGATGCTCTGTGACCTTGGCTGTGTTTTGGCAGTCGTTTCATAGCTCAATTTAGGTAGCCTCATCAGTGCTAGAAATGAGTCTGGTTTGTGGAGAGGAGGAGGAGGAGGAGGAGATTTCATTACCTGACTTCTCCCTCAGATGCTACGTCTCAAACAAGGTTCCCTCAGAATTTGCTAAGTTTCAAACCAGGTTCCCTCAGAAGATGCTATGTCTCAAACCAGGTTCCTCAGAGACCATCTAGTTCAGCTCTATGCTATGTCTCAAACAAGGTTCCCTCAGAAGATGCTAAGTTTCAAACCAGGTTCTCTCAGAAGATATTAAGTTTCAAACCAGGTTCCCTCAGAAGATGCTAAGTCTCAGACCAGGTTCCCTCAGAAGATGCTAAGTCTCAGACCAGGTTCCCTCAGAAGATGCTAAGTTTCAAACCAAGTTCCCTCAGAAGATGCTAAATTTCAAACCAGGTTCCCTCAGAAGACACTACATTTCAAACAAGATTAACCGTCACTGGAAGCGCTAAAACATAAGCTGGAGGTCCATCTGTCCGGGATATTGTATACCTGGATAGCTGCTAGGGCTGGACTAGATGGTCTCTGAGGACCATCCTTTCCTTCTCCAATTCCACGCTTGATGCCTTGAACCATTCAGAAGGCTAGACAAAGATTAGGAATGAAGTAAGACCGGATGCAAGTGAGATGCTCCCCTCACGTTAACTCATGTTCAGGCACATTTTGTGGGGTTTTCATTCACTCATCCTGCCTAGGGCTCTGAGCTGCAAAGGGACCTCTCCGTGGCCTCCCCCCTCCCCACCTTTTCTCCCTTTCTTCCAAGGATCCCGTTGCCAAATGACTCTGGGCAAACCTCCCACTTCTCCAAGTCTGCTTCATCCATTTCCAATGTTCGTGGTAGCATCAAAGGCCGGATTGATGGCGAGAGCAGAACTGGAGCGAAAGGGATTCGGAGAGTGAGGCCAATATGTTTTCGGCTGGCCGTTTGAAAGGGGAGAAGGGAAGCAGGGGAACCGGCTGGGAAAAGCTGGCGGAGGGTTGCGCTATCGCCTTCCGGCCATTTGGGAAACATTTTGGAGCATGCTGGAAAGGGAAATAAGACCAACTGGGGCAGGAACCAAGAGAGAGCCAAGCTAGAACTATCACCGGATGTTTTCTGGTTGATCAACCAGACTGAATATGGACCTTACTTCTCAGTAACCAAGAGTAGAATTGAACTGATGTATCCTATCCTGTTTCTCCTCATTTGGCAGCGTCAACTTGAGGACAACCTGTATAAGGCTTTAGAACATAGAATCGTAGGGCGAAAGGGACCTTGGAGGGCATCTAATCCAATCCCCTGCTCAAGCAGGAGAGCCTACACCAGGGGTAGGCAACCTTGGCTCTTTTATGATTTGTGGACTTCAAGTCCCAGAATTCCTGAGCCAGCCTAGCTCAGGAATTCTGGAAGTTGAAGTCCACGAGTCATAAAAGAGCCAAGGTTGCCTACCCCTGGCCTATACCATTCCATTCCATTATCTGTTATTCTATTCTGTTCTGTTCTATTCTAATTCTATTCTATTCCATCTCTATTCTATTCTAAATTCTATTCTATTCTATTCCATTCCATTCCTAAGACCTGGAGAACATGCCTATCAGGAGAACCGATCTGATGTGTTGGGGACTTTTTGCCTTCCTGCATCAGTTTCTCTGAAGGATGAACACGGTTCTCTCAGGAGAGGCTAAGTCTCAAACAAGGGTTCCTCAGAAGGAGTTCCAGGATGGTGAGAACTTCAGGGAAACTAGAGGCAGCCAAACACAGGGTTGAACCCTGCAGTGTTTACACACTTATTTCGAATCCTTACCTTCAATTTGTTGCACACTGCCCTCTGCTGGCAATGCCAGGTCACCGCACCATAACAGCGCGAAGCCTTCAGGAGAACGCCAAAGCTAGCTTAAGACTTTGTTGACGGTAATAAAGGTTTTTCTCAGCTATTGATAGGTTTTCTTCTTCTTCTTTTCCATCACGAAGAAATTGCCCTTTTTTGTGTGTGTGCATCTTGGAAAGCAAAACCCATTCAGCTGCTGCTTGCTAGGGATCAGTAGTCCTTGGCTTCCAATTATTTGTTTAGTGACCACTGGGCTGGAAAAAAGGACCAGAGCCATTTCAGCATCCTCACAGCCACTTGGGTCAACATCCGGGCACTTGGCAACCACACCAATGGTTGCAGCTTCCCAGAGTCATGTGATCTCCATTTGCAACCTTCCTCGCCGGCTTCCAACAAGGAAAGACGATAGGGGAAGGCAAGATTCTCTTAACAACCACATCGTTCAACCATGGTGAAAAACGGTCGTAAAATCGGGTGCGACTCACTTGACCGCTTTGCTTAGCAATGAAAAGTCCAAAATTGGTCATGGTTGCGAGTCAAAGATCAGCTGTAATAATTTGACACCCACTCAACAATCAATAGCTGCATGCAAACATGATCTTGATTCTGAACTAGGGTTGAAACGTGGCACGGCACACACACGCACGCACACACACACACAACCTTCCGGCTTCTTTTTTCCCCCATTCCCAAGTTTTCAAGTGAGCTATGACAAATGTACAAAAGGGCTGAATTCCTAAAGTTGGGGGGATCTCTTTCAAGTTGGAAACACTTCCCAAAGCTTCGCAACAACGGCCCACTTTCAAGATCAAGGAGAATGTGATCCACTCGTTTGACACAACTCTGCTTAGGATTGTTTCGCACACTTCCGTGACTTCCACGCCCAACTTAAAAAAAAAAATAATAAAATCCGCCATTCTTCCTTCGGCCTTCTTCACGGTCTTTCTTAAGAGGGCTTCCGAAGCAACGGCTAGCGGGACGCAATGGAGCAAAATAACACGTAGTTCAAAACCCCAGATTTAGTTCTGATCATTTTTGATTCTTTAGAGGCTCTGGGGAAACTCAACTTTCCCCTATATATTTGTTGCTGGAAGAAAGGACAGCCGCGAATTGACTGCCTCCTGCTATTATCTTATCTTAAAACAGGCTACCTCGTTGCACTTTGAGCTGACTGTTATCCCGAACATAATCAGCCGTGACCAGGAGATAGAAAATTCAAGCAATTTGTTTGTTTGTTCCCCTGCTGGTTTTCAGAAGCCTTTGGAGAGTTTGAGTGAACAACAGCCACATCATTAGGGCTGTGCACTTCTCTGAACCGGATTCCAGTAAGTTGCTTCGCTGGAATCGTAATTCCAGTGCAATCGTAGCCCTTGTAAGCAACCGTGTCTTTTCCAGGATCACGGGGCAGTGGCAGAGGGTTTCCAGGGAAAAGAGGTGGCTGTTTTAAAGAGTTGCGGGGAATGCAACCTCTTCTCTGAAGCACCTTTCTGGAATCAAATCGGAAAGACACAGCTGACTCACAACTCCCTCTTTCACACATACCAATAAATTAACCTGTGGGAAAATCCAGCGAGGCTGTGCAAAATTCTTGCCAACATTGGACCTGAAAACTGAGGGAGACATGAATTTTGAAAGTTTTTTCCATTTGGACTCTGAAAAGACCTACAAGCTCTGTTCCGTTGCCAAATGCTCTTTTGGTGTGATGGACTTCCTCACTGCTGGTGAGCATCGCAAGATCTTGGCGCCAGATTTTCTTCGTACAGAAGGTCAAGCTTGACCCTCAAAGGCCACGATGGGTGGAGCGACCAGAAATGGCATCTCTTTTCATCACAACCCTTGATTGAATCCAGTTTCATCAACGTAATGATCGGCTAGACCTTTTAAATTCCACTAATTGTATTGTAGTTTTGTTAAGGCCATCACAGCTCCCTCTGGACCGAAACTGGGTGATAAATCTGACGGGAAGAGTTCCCAGTAATTGACCACCGTTAGGAAAACTTTTTTTAGCCGTTCAATGAAGCATCGTATTTCTCGACAGGGATTCTCCTTCCGAAACAGTTTTGCAAAAACGACACGGGGTTATTGGCTCTGCCCCCAACCTGCCATTTTGCATCTAGCTCCTCCCATGTGCCGTTGTTTTACACAAATTACTGTTTAATAAATTATAGCATTGGGGTTAAGGCGTGGGGGGGAAAAAGGAGATCCTTCCATCTGCCCACTTTGGGAAATAACCAGAATAAAACGGAATGTCTGATTAAAACTTCTGACATAACCTCCTTTGTAGAATTTATTGGTGAGAATTAGGACTTGGAAACACCTATAAATAATCCTTTCCACTACCTCTGGCAGCGTCTTCAGGCACCGATCGGAGTTTTCCTGGAGGTTAATAGGGGCGATTGGTTTTAAGAGTTTAAAACAAAAATCTGGTGCAGAAAATATCCTAAGACCTTTATTCTGTTTTTTTTGTTTTTTTTAAGATTAAATATAATCTGTCTTCAGTAGAGCATCTCTCTTTAAAACCGCACGAAGAGGGGTGGGTGGGATACATTCTTCCTCAAAATAAGAAATACTGACCACGGAGCAAGGAGATTTACAGTGCAAAATATAAGCTATTCACACCCACAAGTGCAAAAATGATTATCCTTACAATTTCTACAGCATAGGCCACTTTCTTCAACCACTCTCTGTACTATAATTCTAGAGTGCCTGGTTTACCCCAGATTCTCTAGATCATCCACGTTAAAAGATTCTTGCCTGGAGAAAAGGGCGCCCTATCTTTGCTTGACATCTGTCAAAAGGTTTCAAATTTGCCCGTTCTTCAGAAGTGCGACAGGATCTTCGGAGTCTACGACTGCGGCTAATTTTTAGATCACGGATACACCCAGAAGGATCCCAGCGAAGACAAAAGGCAGGAGCTAAGGGGTTGGTTGATTGTTGCCGTATCTGCTACCACAGGGACACCCAGGTTGGCATGCAAACGTGCGCGCACGCATACACACACACACAGAGGGCTGCTTCGAGGGCAGGAGACAGCAGTCTCAGAAATTCACATTTTCAGGCTGGGAGATGGCGGTGTTTCTCCCCCGTTTTAGTACGGAATATCGTTTTGGTAGTACTGGATCATATCATAGGTCTTGCTCCTAAAAAGAAGAAGAAGAAGAAGAAGGAAAGAGAGGGGGAAAAAATTAGGCTTTTTTAGAGATGTATCTCTTGGGATTTAATTTGGTTTCTTCAAGGACTTGAGAAACAGACAAGCTTTGTAGTCAGATGCTAGTCTGGATGAAGGTTTGCTGCGGCAATGAGTCACGGATTGATTAGAAATATACTGTAGGAGATGACCAGGCTGAGCCCGAGGGAGGGGGTCAAGCATGTTATCAGTCTTGAATCCCTTCGCTCCCACAAGAGATTTAAGTCCTGCCCACCTTGAATTCTCTATATAATAGTAATAATAATAAAGTTGGAAGGGACCTTGGAGGTCATCTAGTCCAACCTCCTGCTCAGGCAGGAAACCCTATACCATTTCAGACAAATGGCTGTCCAATCTCTTCTTAAAAACTTCCAGTGTTGGAGCATTCACCGCTTCTGGAGGCAGGTTGTTCCACTGGTTAATTCTTCTAACTGTCAGGAAGTTTCTCCTTAGTTCCAGGTTGCTTCTCTCCTTGGTTAGTTTCCATCCGTTGCTTCTTGTCCTGCCTTCAGGCGCTTTGGAGAATAGCTTGACTCCCTCTTCTTTGGGGCAGCCCCTCAGATACTGGAACACTGCTAACATGTCCCCCCTCGTCCTTCTCTTCGTTAAACTAGACATACCCAATTCCAGCAACCGTTCCTTATATGTTTTAGCCTCCAGTCCCTAATCATCTTTGTTGCTCTTCTCTGCACTCTTTCTAGAGTCTCAACATCTTTTTTTACATTGTGGTGACCAAAACTGGATGCCGTATTCCAAGTGTGGCCTTACCAAGGCGTTGTAAAGTGGTATTCCATTAACTCTTCTCTACTGCCAATTTGCCTTGACCATGAATAGCTCAAATTCTTGAAGAGAGCTAGCACGGAATAAACCTGCACACATCTGAACCACCTTGCTTCCTGCTCTCTTGCGCCCGACATGAAAGGTAGCCCTCAACCGCTTCTTTCCAAATGGTCACTAGACGAACTGCTGTGTTCGTTTAGTGACCATGCGAACGTACAACAGCACTGAAAAAAAGGGACCGATGATCACTTTTCACACTTTTAACGACCGACGCAGCATCCCCAGGGTCACGTGATCAAAATTCAGACACTCGGCAACCGACTCGCCTTTATGACGGTTGCAGTGTCCTTGGAGGGGTGGGTGTGTCAGGTGATCCCTCCTTTTGCGACCTTCCGACAAGCAAAGTTGACGGGGGAGTCAGATTCACTGAAAAACCCTAAAAGGGGGCAAAAGTCAGCTAACAGCTGTCTCACTTCGCAACGGAAATTGTGGTCGTAAGAGGAGGGCTACCGGTACTCGTGGACTGAGGTGGGTCTCGTGGGGTAAATTGGACGGGCCTCGCATCCAGATGATCTAAACCTACTTGTCGTAGAGCTACCTTGAGAGAATCTTGTAGGTCTTGAAGAGACAATTCTCCCTGCCTCTCCTTTGTTGCTGTGCCAACAACGGGACAGTAGAGAAGAAACAGGCTTACCTGTTGCTGAGGAAGCAATTCTGAATGATCTTCATGATGAAGTTTGCAGCTTCTCGCTCCGTCATGTTGGGGCTGAACCTGTTCCTGTTTGAGAAAACAGGAGGAGGAGGAGGAGGAGGAGGAGGAGGAGGAGGAGAACATCAAAAGACTGTTCTGCAGATGTCTTGACTTTGCCACATTTCCCCACAAGCCTGTGGGCAACGCTGGTGGCTGATCTTTTTGCAAAGACTCTTTTAAGTTGGCGGGGTGTAATCTGAGAATCTAGCCCTCCCTGTTCTCACCAAGTTATAATGGTTAATACAATTATATGAGTGTTTCTCAACCTTAGCCACTTTAAGAGGTCTGGACTTTAACTCCCAGAATTCCCTTGCTTAGCTTAAATAAAGAGCCACGCCTCATTTCTGCTCTTGGCCCATTGGGGCAGCCCACTTACTTCAAGAGTTTGATGGTCTGTCCCCGAAAACAGGGCAATCCGGTGTCTAACATCAACGTAACCAAAGAAACAACTGCGTCCATGTACGGCCTGCAAGGAGAGAACGAGAAGGGAAGGCTTAGCAGGTCTCATCCATCGGCAGGAGGAAGTTTATATATTTAGGATATGATGAGACCATGAGGGAAGAGAAGCAAATGTAGACACACACAATTTTGTACAAAGCTTCTACAGGGGTACAGCAACGGCCTCATAACTGGATGTCCAATTCAGCTGTCCAGGCGATTGCCTCTGGGGTTGCTTCGTGCAGAACTTTTAGGGCAGGGGTCCCCAACCCTCGGTGTATGCAACACCATCGGGCTGCGGCAGGCCAGACACCGGGCCATGCAAACAAGCGAAGCCCCATCCATGGTAGGCAGGCAGCAGGCGAAATCATGCACCCTCCGGTCCATGGGAAAACCACTCTCCACGGAACTGGTCCCTGGTGCCCAAAAGGTCGGGGGCTGCTGTTCTAGGGAACCAGGGAACACACGCCATGGACAATCTCCCATAATATGTTTCGTAGTTTGCCTATCGGCACCACAATCGCAACAAGGGGCATCTTTCCATCCCAGCTGATATAAGGTCAGGGACTTCTTCCAGGATCAGCCCGAATTCTGTTCAGTTTCGACCAGAAGAAAGTGAACAGCAGGAAGAAGGGGGGGGGGGGGGNGGAGGAGGAGGAGGAGGAGGAGGAGGAGGAGGAGGAGGAGGAGAGGGGATCTCAGCTGAGATCACATCACACTTTGTTACGATAATTAAATCTACACAGGCAAAACTTCTGCCTGTCTGCTGATGAAGCAGCCTGATTGCCAACCAATCTGTCACTCTAACAAAATTACTGCGACAAAGAGGGCTGGGCTCTCCTGGGCTTTGCGGAGGCTGTTAACGTCCCTCTCCGTGAGCAGAGAAATGGAAGAAAGATTCAGAATCATAATATTGTTATTATTATTAAGAGAGTTTGGGGAAAAAAGGGGCTCAAGGCAAAAATCCGAGGCAAGGGAACCCAAGCAGCAGCAGAAGCCTCCTCACCTGACCGCCAGGTAGCCCCTGACACACATCTCCATGAACCACCGGAAGGGCGTGGCTTCCATCTTGCCACCCATGATCATGACCATCTCATCCGTCAGCTTGATGTCCGGCTCCCAACCCAGGTTTCCACCGGGAGAACTTTCGAACATGAATCCAAAATCTGACAAGGAGGAGGAGGAGGAGAAGGACGTTGACCTGTTTTTAATCTAGATCTCTGAAATCCAATCACCACTACTTGAAAGATAAAGGTCACTCTTTTGAGGACAGCAAAGCCCACATTCTGGAGGGAGATGACCACTGGGTTGAAAGAGGGGTCAAAGAGGACATCTGTGTGAAAACTGGACAGTCCTCCTTCAACGGAGGGGAAGGGGTACGACACACCACCTGTCTCCTGGGTACCACACAATCCTTTCAGCAGTCCCAAGAAGGTTCCTCCACCAATTGCACCCTGGTTTGGGTGACCCTGAGGGCAGAGATAAAACTCCAAGTGGCCTCAACTAACTCTCAGAAAGAGTACTAATGACCAGATGACTGCAAGGGATATAAATCCTTCCATCCCCCACTATTCAGTCAGAACTGACGAAGCTTCTTGGATGAGAAGTGAAACTTTTCAAGGAAAAAACACTCAGAAAAGTCCTTTTGAAAAAGCACCCGTTGGCGCAACCATGACTGAGAACTCCACAGACAATCAAAGAGTGGACTTTGAGGAGCTGGTCCAAAAGGCAGAGCCCTTAGAACTGGACCACAGTTCTCTTTTGTTGTCCCAGGAGACGGTCCATCCCAAGGGCAAGCCACCTTCTGCCCGTTGAAGGACAATGTCCTTCTGGAGAAGACACGCGTCCTCCAGATAAAAGGCCGAGCCCCACAAAACGACACAAAAACTCCCAAAGGATAAACTAACCAATATGAATGATATGTCCGTGTTTGTCCAGCATGATGTTGCCGTTGTGTCTGTCTTTAATTTGCAACAGGAACAGCAGAAGGCTATAAGCAGCCATGCTGCGGATAAAGTTGTAGCGGGCCTGCAAGGGTGAGATGACATGGGCAATATGGAGAAAGAAGGGAGGGTTTGCATCACGGGCCCTCAGTAGACCCAAGTTGAACATCTACAACAGGAGCATTTTCATAAGGGGGGGGGGGGAGGACTGAAGGCAAATGACTAATTTTCAGGAGAGGAATAAAGGAATCTAATTGTGCCGCTTGGTAGACTTTGAGTTGACTTCATTCCTAACGACACCCAATTGTTGTGCTTGGCATCACTAGACTATTGACTGTCAAGGAATGCTCAACCTGCTGATTATTGTACAGCAAATGAAGACGAGGATGGCATTTTTCTAGTTCTTCATTAGGGGCTTATCGATAAAAAGCTTTCCTCCAATTCTCTTCGGAGTCAAATCAATGGAGCCTTAGAGAGAGTTTGGAAAGACTCTCTCACACACACACTGAAAGACAATCCCCACTCCCTTCTAGCACTGATGATGTTACCTAGTTGGGTCATGGAAGGCCTGCAAGAAAACAACCAAGCTCAGAGAGTACTAAGAACCTCACCGTTCTCCTTCCCTCTTTTCCTCCTCTCCTTCTCCCCCACCCCTCCTCCTTTCCACCTTCTCCTCCTCCTCCTCCTCCCCTTCTCTTTTTCTCCATGATCCCCACGCCCTTCTAGCACTGATGATGTTACCTAGTTGGGTCATGAAACGTCTGCAAGAAAACCACCCAGCTCAGAGAGCACCAAGGACCCCACAGTCCTCCTCCTCCTCCTCCCCTCCTCTCCACAAACCCCACTCCCTTCAAGCACTGATGATGTTACCTAGTTGGGTCATGAAACGTCTGCAAGAAAGCCACCCAGCTCGGAGAGCACCAAGGACCCCACAGTTCAACCCTGAGCTACAGTCTCTTCGATCGGTAAGAGTCACACGCAAACTACCTTCTGGAAGGCCAGGGTCGATTCGTCTCCGTACTGCCTGGTGAAGTAATCGTACATCCCAAAGTCGGTCTGCCTGCCCAGCTGATCTCGGGAAGTACAATCTGGAATGCATTCGATGACTCCACACTAAGAGGAAGAAGGTAAATGAGTGAACAGGAGAACTCAGGCACAAAAACGCCTGATTGGATGCACATATACTCAACTGGAAATACAAATACACTGGAAGTTTTCAAAAACAGGCTGAACCATCCTTTTACTGGGATGGGATGACTCCTGTCTTGAGCAGGGGGGGTTGGACTAGAAGACCTCTGAGGTCCCTCCCAGCCCTATGATTCTACCTTCCTTTTCTGACATGACTTCCCTGCGAAGGGAGCCCGGAGTCACGAAATGAGGACTGATAAAAGATTTGCTCTTCCAGAGACTCACCCCAGGAGCGGTCGCCACCACCCGGTACGGAAAGACATAGAGGTCAAGGCCCACCAGCTGAAATATGTTCTTGAAGAGATCGATGATCTGCAAGGCCAACATGTCCTGTCCAGCACCAAAACAAAACACCAAAACAAAACCCAGGATTGAAGAGGGGGGGTTCAAATATTACGCACAACAGTGATTAATAAAGGAGAATATTTGCAGCACCAGGACCCCACAATCCTTCCCCTTCTCTTCCTCCTCCTCCTCCACTCTGCAAACCCCCCTCCCTTCTAGCACTGATGATGTTACCTAGCTGGGTCATGAAACGTCTGCAAGAGAACAAGCAAGCTCAGAGAGCACCCAGGATCCCTCATCGCAGCAATGACTGCTGAAAATTGTCCGCCTCCACGGGTAACTCAAGAAGACAACCCTGACACTTTCTTACCTGCCTGCAGTCATCGCCCACTTTAAAGATGGCGGCCTGCCAGCAAATCTTCTTACTCTCCCTGCTGTCTTCTCCGCATTCGTCTATTGAGTCTGAACGACAACGCAGACCTAGAAGGCGGGGTAGAGAACCCATACCATCTCAGTCAGGTGATAGTGTCATCAACACAATTGCATGAACATGGATTTAAGCACACTTAAATTGGGGGGGGGGCTGGCATGCTGTAGTTCATGGGGTCACCAAGAGTCAGACACAACTTAGAGACTGAACAACCACCAAGTGCTGGAAGGGACCGTCAGAACCATCCACAAGAACCCATCCCCTCTTCACATTTGACAGCCCAAGTATTTTGAGCTTCAGCCCAAACCAAGCTCCTCAAATGTTTTGGTTCACGTCATAAAAAGGGGTCCACTGCACTCACCTTCTCTTTCAAGTTCGCTCACTCCACACCTCTTCACCTTGAACCTGGCCAGGTAAGGGGCTTTGGCAGCGCTGGAAGGAAGCACAAATGGGTCAGAGCCAGTAACTGATCATCCCTATTTTATTTTATTTTTTAAACTGAAGTAGAACAAGCCGGAAAAGAGCGCAAGGCCCTACCTTTGCATAGGCGTTCCCGACTTGTAGTCAATATCCAAAACAATGGCTTCTGGGTTGCTTGGCAAATAGCACCCTATTGGGAAGGGGAGAAGAGAATCCTTGGGGAAAACCAGCCAAGGGGTTGAGCTAGCATAGGGGGTCTTCCAACTTGGCCCTTTGATGACTGGTGGACTTCAACTCCCAGAATTCCTCAGCCAGGCAGGAGTTCTGGGAATTGAAGTCCACCAGTCATCAAAGGGCCAAGTTGGAAGACCCCTGAGCTAGCAGGACGAGTCAGGGAAGACAGCAGAAAAGACTTTTTCTCCTCTTTGCGAGGAGGCCTCCACTTACAACCGTTCATTTAGTGACGGTTCGATGTTACAGCGGCACTGGAAAAAAATGACCTATGACCCCTTTTTCACACTTAACAACCGTTGTTGCAACATCGACCACAAAATTTGGACGCTTGGCAACTGGCTCGTATTTATGATGGTTGCATTGTCCGGTGTGTGTGTGTGTGTGTGTGTGTGTGTGACGTGATATCCTTTGGTGGCCTTCTGACAAGCCAAGTCAATGGGGGGAAGCTGGATTCACTTAACAACCGGGTCACTAACTGAACAACTCCAGTGATTCTCTTAGCAACGGTGGCAAGACAGGTCGTAAAATGGAGGCAAAAGTCAATTAACAACTGTCTCCCCTAGCAAGAGAAATTGTGGTTGTCAAGTCCAAAATTATCTCTAATTGTTCGTTTCTTACCAGGTTGTACTTTCACTTCAGATAAAGCACTCAAGCAGGCCTTTTTTCGCTCTTCGCCTTTAGGATAAGGCCTACAGGGGGGAAAGAAAATCCCAACACATTGCGGTATTTGAATTGTGAATTCTAATTCTAATAATAATAATAATAATAATAATAATAATACAACAACAATAATAAGCGTACAGCTGATTGATATTGTTGTATCAGGAGATGCCATAGTCGAAGAAAAAGAACTGGAAAAAATGACGAAATATCGCGACCTGCCCATCGAAACTGTGCAATTATGGATGAAACGTGTAACAGGGACACCCATTGTCATCGAGGCCCTGGGAACGATGTCCCAAAACTTTGCAAAACACATCAAGAAACTGCAGCTTCCTGCAATAACTCCAGCAATGCTACAAAAAAAACCTGCGCTACTCGGAACATCTAACATTTTAAGGCGGTACCTGGGTGACACCTAGGATGCTGGCAGCAACCCGTGTCAACCCTCGGCACCAGCCAATTTGAATGTTCAGTTGACTGAGGTTCATGTTTAATGAATAATAGATAATAATAATAAAGTTGGAAGGGACCTTGGAGGTCGTCTAGTCCAACCCCCTGCTCAGGCAGAAAACCCTATATCCCTTTAACTTGTGTTTTGTTTATAAGACACATTTCACTGCAAGGGAAGAATAAGATTCTTCTCCGACTCTGCCTTTGTACTCACTTGATGATGGCTGAAACGTTGGTGATTTTGTTGAAGAAATCAAATTCCCGTTGGTAAAACTCCTTCGCTGGACCAGACAGCGAACCAGTTATTTCCTCCACCAGCTGTTCCAGCAGTTCCCCAATGTCAGCTACGTGAAAGAACAAGCAGAAGGAGGAGTGTGAAGTTTGTGGGGTCCTTGGTGCTCTCTTGAGCTTGGTGGTTTTCTTGCAGATGCTTCATGACCCAACTAGGTAACGTCATCAGTGCTAGAAGGGAGTGGGGAGGAAGAGGATTGTGGGGTTCCTGGAAGGGACAGCTGCTCAAGAAACTCATCGCGCAACGTCTCCAAGCAACGGTCCACTCACGGTCTTTCTGGTGTCCCTCTTCATCCAGGTAGATGTTTGTCTTCATATTCCAAATGAACTGGTGAGCCAGCAGCTGGGACTTGGAAGCTGCCCAGAGGATGTACTCCCTGACGTAGCCCATCTGTGAAAATACAACAGAGTGGGTCTTCTTCTAAGCATGGCTCTGACCAGGAACATGTTGAGACAGAGAAGCCCAGATGCCCTAATGCAGGGATCCCCAATCCCTGGTCTGTGGACCGGTACCGGTCCGTGGCATGCCAGCAACCGGTCCGCACAAACAAGCAAAGCCCCATCTGCAGGATGCAGACAGCACACAAAACCACGCACCCTCTGGTCCGTGGAAAAAGCTTTCTCCACGGAACTGGTACTTGGTGCCCAAAAGGTTGGGGACCTTTGCCCTAATGGACCAGTTCCCCCCATTAAATCCCAATCAGGGAAGGTCTTCTTATGCATCTTCCTTAATTGTTGGAGACTCGCATTGTATTAGTGATTTATTGAAACTCTCTAGTTTATCCAAGTATTGTAGAAACAATGAATACATCTGTCTATCTGTCTATTTGTGTCTATCTGCCCATCCATCCCTCCATATCCATATCCATATCTATCTCTCTGTATATATCTACTTACTGACTCTATCCATATCTATCCATCCATCCCTATCCATCATCCATCCATCCATATTTTTCTTTCTTTCTTTCTATCTACCTACTTATCTATCTATCCATATCTTTTCATTTACATGTCTATCTCTGCATCCATCCATCCATCCATCCAAATGGCATAACCTGAACATTTACTGCATGCCAAAGAACCCAAGTGCAAGGATTGTATGGAAAAGGCCTAAAGTTCAATTCACGGCACTTTTCAGTGAAAAAGGACCAGGTGGCCCACAGATACTGGATCGTCCTAAACTCATCTAACTGAGGACATCCCTTCACCAAAGTTTTGCCGTCTTTATCTGCCCTTACCTTGTCGTATCGAAGGGCCTGCACAATCTGCGGAATGTAAAACAGAATAGCATCCTGGGGGGATGGGGGGGTGGAGGGAGGGAGAAGAAGGAAAAAAGAAGTTAGGATTTCTTCTTTTCTTTCAAAGCACTTACATTCTGGCTTTACGAGCCTTTCCTCCCATCATTAACAGGCAAAGAGCTGCATTTTTTTTTTTTTTGGTATTATCATAAAACGAAATGCAAAAATGTAGAGGGATATTTAATGTGCCTGCAAAAGTCACAAGGCTGTGAAACATCTACTGCCCTTGTTATTGTTGTTATTTGTTGCTGGCAGAGTCAGCCAGATCTGTAGAATGGACTTGGCGTTTATACCCATCTATCAAGTCCTTCCCAAGGACCTGGGATGGACAGAGGTGGGCGTTTGATGGGGTTAAAGGTCTCGCCGCAGGACGTCAGCTCTCCCAAGTAAAGCTGCCTTTTGCAATTGACTGGTGGTGAATATGTCAATGTCAATGGTAATACATTATGGTTCTTCGCACAGCCAGATGTTTAGATTGGAGCTGGCATTTTTGTCCACCTATCACGCCGTTCTCAAGGACCTGGGATAGGCAGATGTGCTTGTTCGATGGTATTAGAGGTACAGGGAATCCTTGACTTACGACAACCTGAGCCCAAAAGTTCTCCTGCTCAGTGAAACTTTCGTTAAGTGAATTTTACTCCCCTTTCAAGACTTTCCTTGCCACATTTAAGTGGATCGCTGCAGTTCTTAACTTAGCCACACGGTTTGTTAAGTGAAACCGGCTTCCCCCCCCCCCCCCCGTGGACTTCGCTTATCAGGGGGATCACGTGACACCCCCCCGGGGACGCTGCCACCATCATAAATACGAGTCAGTTGCCAAGCGTCTGAATTTTGATCACGTGGCCATGGGGATGCTGCAAGGGTCGTTAAGTGTGGAAAACGGTCGTAAGTCACTTTTTGAACAGTCACTAAATGAACTGTTGTAAGTTGAGGACTACCTGTATGGTCACAGGATGTAAGCTGTTCTAAGCTACTATTAGATCCCTCGGCCTTTCCACAACAGCCACTTTATTTATTTTCTTCCAGCTCTCAGGCAAATGGTTAAATCCAAGACAGGGATAACTCAACTGTTTTATCCTCTGAGGAACTCTCGGCTGAACTTTGGAGCAGAAAACGCCACGTAAGCTACATCCCACGGACTTTTAACCCTCTCGATGTGGGAAAGGGAAGCTGTGCTTGTCCTTTGCTACTACAGATAGTTCTCGACTTACGACCACAACTTTGGACCAGGATTTCCGTTCCTGAGCAAGGGGGTTGCTAAGTGGACGATGCCCAGTTTTGCGACCTTTACAGTAAATTGAACTGAGCTGAACTGAATCTTTTATTTGACCGAGTGCGATTAATCAGAATACAGCTGGAAGGGACCTTGGAGGTCTTCTAGTCCAGCTCCCTGCTCAAGCAGGAGACCCTGGCCTAGACCGTTTCAGACAAATGGCTGTCAATCTTTTCTTAAAAACCTCCGGTGATGGAAAACCCACAACTTCTAGAGGCAAGCTGTTCCACTGGTTAATTGTCCTCACTGTTAGGAACTTTCTCCTTAATTCCAGCTTGCTTCTCTCTTTGATTAGTTTTAGAATAGAATAGAATAGAATAGAATAGAATAGAATAGAATAGAATAGAATAGAATAGAATAGAGCAGAATAGAATAGAATAGAGCAGAATAGAACAGAGCTGGAAGGGACCTTGGAGGTCTTCTAGTCCAGCTCCCTGCTCAAGCAGGAGACCCTGGCCTAGACCATTCCAGACAAGTGGCTGTCCCCTCTCTTCTTAAAAACCTCCAGTGATGGAAAACCCACAACT